CAGGCATAGGATAGGAGAGAGATGAATTATCAACACTTTGTAACACACAGATTCAAACACATCACATGAGAGTCGATTAGGGTTTTTGAGAGATTCTATTTTCCATTCAATAAAGAAAGCGACGACCGATTTCTATTCATCTTCTTCTACAAATCTCTTTTTAAATTCCTTCACATCACTCTACTGTCAGATCTGGGATTAACAGACTCGCGGAAGGATTTGTAAGTTCACAGATTGTGACCTCATTAATCTGAATTCGTGGGATCTTCTTCATCTATTCTACTTCACAGATCACAAGAAAGACAAGGGAGTAAAATACGCTGTTGCCAACTCTGCCATTCGCCAAACAATGACAGATCTGCTCGACTTCAGAAGCAAGTTCCACTTCCAACTAGCTCTGGATCTAGGAGTGGATCAACTGATAGTCGCTGCTCCAAAAGAAGATTTACAGGGCATCAACAGCATCCCCTCCTGGACGGTTTTGGTGGAACCAGAAGTGGGAGTGGTGTTTCGAAACGAGCATAAATCGAAGATCTTCTTTTTGGACAACCAAAATTACAAGTACTCCAACTCTACTCTACGCTGTATAAGAGACAATCTGGTCAGGAGTAGAGACAACTCCCCTGGAGCAAAGGAGCGAGCCAAAATTATCCTGAGGTCGATTCAGAATATGCTTGAGTTTCGTGAACTTCTTAAGAAGTTCATTAGACTTCAAAATGTTTAGACCTCTTATCTTTTGTAAGTACTCCTTTATTTTTGATTCAATGTAATTTCAATTTCAATCGTATTATACTTTTTTAGATAGTTAATGTAAATCAGAGGTTTCTTTTAACCTCTGTCTTCGATTAGGCTTCTAGTTTGTAAATCAAGTAAGAGTCCTTCTTATTTACAATTAGGGGGAGATTGTTAGACCCCAACTTGTGGAAGTGTAAGTAAGAAGTGTCTTGCTCTAGTCAATAGGACTTAGTCTATAGAAGCTGTCTGGCTAAGAGCTCTCATGTAGAAGATCAAGGATCAAAGCTCTTACTCAGAGTGAAGGTTCCTTTCATACAGTGCCCGCGCTCTATCTCCGTGAATGCTCATGTCTTGTGCGCCAAAAAGCATAAGCGCTTGACTTAAAGCAACAACTCCAAACCTAGATCCTCTGCATAGTACATGCAGAGCTTCAATGGTCATGCAGAGCTTCTGGCTACCTTCTTCATGGAAAGCGTGCGTTAGCCCATATAGTCTCGCAAAACGTCTAACAGATTTAAGGCGGCTTGATCAAGTCTGCTCCACTATTCAAGGGAAGTCAAAGATAAGGATGCAGACGAGTCAGCTCAGAGTTCCACGCCTTTTTTATAGCATAGTTTGTTAGACCTAGGCGTATATAAGGAGGCCTCCGCCTCAGGTTCAAAGTACATGAAGGAGCCGACTTATACAATACGCGTATTCTTGTGAGATTACTATTTGTTCTTCAATTTTTCATCATTATCAATAAAAGCATTCGGTTATTCAAAGTATTATTCACTGTTTTACTTTCTTCTTTGAATATTCTGTTTAATCAATAGAAATACTTTGCTGTTCTTAATTCTTATTTTACGCAAACAACATTATGCAAATTGAGAGTATCTGAATTCCAACAAATACCCCTTTGGCCTTGATCGCCAGGGGTAGTGGTGGTGGTTGCCCTTTGGGAAGAGAGTGATGGAATTGTGTTTGTAGGTCCGGGGGATGCGTGATGAGTGTCATCATCATCATCTTCATTATCCGATGAAGACGAATCCTGTGCTCCCTCGTTTGTATCAGGGGACGGTTCTAAGTGCTCTGGGGTAGCTGCCCTCGGTTCTTGGGATAGTAGAGAGCGTTCGTACTTCTGTCTTATCTCAGACGTTTCTGGTATGACGCTGAGCATGGCCCTTGAAACAGTCCTCTCTGTAGTATAGCCATCCTTTGAAATTGTTGGGCGATGGCCGTTCATTAGGAACTGAGGGGTGTATGGTTCTTCGACTGGTAGGCTGTGTCTCCTCATCGCGTCCCTTATGAAGAGAGC